ATTGGGAATCAACTACAAGATCAAGTTTGGTGAGACATAGTGTTGATGGATATCTGTCACCTTTTGTTGGGGAGATTGTGGCAGTTTGATCGTCAGACTTAGCATATCATGGTACAAGAACACATTCATTCACCAAAGATTGAAAACACGTCATCCTCCTCCTTCTATGGAGTCTGAGATTATAGGTCCTCTTTCTAAAAGAGAATTGTCGGGAGAATTAATCTCGGTGATGACAGGTTGTTTTGAGATGGAAGAGTTGGTTGCAGACACAGGATAGCTAGCACGAAAAGAGTTTCAAGACATCATATTCGATAACTTAATGACATTGATGCATTCTTTAGAGAGATTCAGACTACCGCTACTTCAGATCATGTTAAGGACGAACTTGGGCTACTTTTGGATTATTTAGCAGAGTGTACTTGATAGGAAGGATCAATTCATTTCCGTAATGTAGCCCAAAAAGATTGGACAAATATGGATCGCTAATTGCAAGTGGAGAAAATTCCTCGTGTGTATTGCGAGACACCAGAGTCAATAATGGGATCTTGATCCTGATATCGACGCAGTCGATGATCTTTCAAGCCCGAAAGGTTACAACAACACCTCCTTCAACATGTTTGGTCTGACTCCATACTACAAGGAGATAGAAGTTTCGACAAATGAAGTCGAAGCTCTCACAACCCTAGGAGACTGACACAGTCTTGAAGAGACAGGCGTGAGAGCCCTATCCAAGTTTCTTATGCCTAGATCGATCGAACCAAGCAGGGGAGAGCCGACCAACTCCTTTCTAAGGCTTTGGCACCTCCTTTCAATAGTTGAACCAAATTCTAATTATCTAAGAATTATATATTTTCTTCATTTATTTTAGGGACTGTTTGGGATCACTTTCTGTTTTTTTAGTCTTTTTTGTTTTTGTTCTTATTTTATTTTGTTATTTCTATTTTTAGAAAATATGTTTGGTACGGCTATGATTTATATATTTTTAAAATAAAAAATATAAAACATGGTTGGTTGAGTATTTTTATATTTTTTAAAGAAAAAACTATATTTTTTATAAAACGGTTGGGTCCACGTGCGCTCCAATACAACTCGTGGCGTATCTGACGACTTCCTTGCGCCACCGAACACGAAGTATTACATGTGGGTCGGGCGAACGCGAGCAGCGGCGAGGGTCAGACAACGTTGATGCATGGTGGCTGCAGCTGTGGGTGGGGCCAGACTGTGGAAAAGAGCAGCGAGCTATTAGGGACAGCAGGTGTTTGGTAGAGGCGGCGACTGGCAGGAGATGGTGGTGGCGGTGGCAGGGGATGGCGGCTGGTAGGGGATGGCGGCTGGCAGGGGATGGCGGCTACCGGGCGGGGGTTGGCGGCTACGGCAGTTGGTGGTCGGTGGTGGCCGGTAAGGGTTGCAGCGGGCGACAGGAGGTGGCTCACAGTGACGGGAGCAGAGGACAGCGGAGCCTCACGCAGATAATGCTCCCAAAAACATGTTTTTAAAACAAAAAATATATAATTTATGTGTTTTTTATGTTTTGAAAACAAACCATGTGTATTTAAAAAATAAAAAACGAATAAACAAATACTATATTTAGATTTATTTTATGATTTTTGTTTTCAAAACAAATAACAGAAAATCGAAAGTGGTCCCAAACAGGGCCTTAGGTTTTCAATTTTTGCTTGGTTTTCTGTCAGACCATTCTCGTCCTGATTTCTCCCTTCTATAGTTATATCCGAAGGCGAGAAGATGCTCTGACTGTAACTCGTCCAGAGATGATGTGTATCTCTTATTTCTCTACTCCTGCAACCCTTTCTCCCATAGATAATTCGCCTTTAGTCGTTGCAGCTGCCCGGAACAGTAGCCTTGCTGTCCTTTTCCGACAAACCAACCATTCAACCACCTATTTCCCTCATTCCAGCCACCTATCCTCGCTCCCAAAGAGAGTCGAGGAATACTTGGGCTACTTTTGGAGGATTCAACAGAGTATACTTGGTCGGAAGGCTTTGCTCATTTCCGTAGTGTCCCCTCAGAAGATTCGACCAATATGGATCGCTCCACGCAAGTGGAAAAATTTTCTCAGGTGTTTTAGGTGACATCGCAGTCAATAGTGGGATCCCAATACTCATATTGATGCAGTTAATGACCCTTCAAGTCCAGAAGGTTGCAACAACTCCACCTTCCTCAATGTGCTTGATCAGACTCCATACTACAAGGAGACGAAAATTTCAACAAATGAAGTCGAAGCTTCCCTAATCTTGGGAGACTAATGCAGGCGTGCAGTGAGAGGTGTGAGAACACCATCTGCGTTTCTTATGCCTGGATCAACCGATCCAGGTAGGGGAGAGCCAACTTACTGCTCATTTCCAAGGTTTTGGCACTTCCTTTCAATAGCAGGATCCAATCCTTAATCTAAGGATTATGTATTTGCTTCGTTTATTTTAGGTTTTCTATTTTTGCTTGGTTTTATGTCAGGATAACCGTTTGCGTCCAGATTTGCCCCTTCTATGGTCATATCCAAAGTAGATAAAGTGCTTTGATTGTTACTCGTCCATAGGTGGTATGTATCTCCTATTTCTCTACTCTCACAGATAATTCCTCTTTCCGCACTGCAGTCGCCCGGGCAGCAGCCTTGCTGTCTTTTTCCTACAGACCAAGCACCTAGTACCTACAGACCAGCCACCCGGGCACCTATTTACCTCATTCCAGCTGCCTATCTTCTCTTCCAGCAGCCCCTCTCATGCTGCAAATGCCCAGAACAACACTTTTGACTGTTCTTCGTGCAGTCCAGCCCATTCCTTCCTTACAGCTGCCTGGGACAGCAAGTGGCTGATTCCTCGCTGCTGTTTTCCACTGATTTCAGCCAGCCAACCTCCATTTTTTCCCCACCACAGCCAACTGCAACTTCCCCTTCATCCTCCAACAACCATCCACTGCCCCGCCACCCTTCTCCTGCAATCCACTCACCAAATCCAACCACCACCTTTTGTAGACAATTTAGTTGTGTTTGTTTGTGTTTGTCATTGTATTTCCCTTTCAAGTGTGCTTGGTTGTAATCGTATAGTTGTTTTCGATCATATTATTTGCTTTTCTATTGTTGTTTGGGTTAACTCCGGTAGCAATGTTGCTCTCCTCGTATTTAACATAATATTTCACACTAATCTCATGTAAAATTAGCCTTTCCTTTGACAATCTCATATTTACTTTAACATAATTTTTTGCAGCCCACTCTCCCCTGCACACCACGCACCCTATTGTGTGGATTTTTTATAACATTCATTTGGCTGCCATCTTCTGATAACGAAAACCTATTTGGAAGGACCACTACTATACACAATTATACATCATTTTAGATGGTTTTAGAATGTACAATAGAGAGCAGAAAATAAGCAGGCATAAAAAAATAATGTAGAATGCTTGGGAAAGAAAAAGAGTAAAATAAGATATTATGACAATAAGTTGTGCAAAAATATTAACACAAATAAAGTTACCACCTACTGTGACACTAATGGCAAATGAAAATTTACAAATTACAGATAGTAGAAAAAAGGAAATGTTGTTGATGACTGCTCGAAAGCATTTTCAACATCTAATCACAATAGATGCATTTGTTGCCAATACCAATAATCCATCCATGCTAGCCTGATCTACACCTTTCTTCCTATTCTTTTACAAATATTTATTCCCCCTGCCTTAGCGGTTTTTTTTTTTTTTTTTGTTCATTGCACAACCAAATGTGTTAAGATGGTTTGGTCACATTAAACGTCGACCATCTGATGATCCGATTAGGAGAGTAGATGTTTTAGATTCGACTTGTGTTAAGAAAGGCAGAGGTAGACCTAGGAAGACTTGGGCTTATTGTATAAAAAATGATCTTAATTTACTGGAACTAAATGGAAATATAGCACTAAACAGGACACAATGGAGAAAAAGGATTCATGTAGCCGACCCCACGTAGTGGGATTAAGGCTTTGTTGTTGTTGTTGTTGTTGTTGTTGTATTGCACAACCAAATGCCATCTTACCCTGTCCTCAACCACTAAATTATCCCTGGTAGATGTGGCTCCCATACTGGATATAACCAGTTTACCAAATCATCATGCTTAAGCATTTAGACGTCCAAACTGCTCAAATCCATAATTCCATTGTGCAAAGGTCCATAATTGAACACAAGGTAAGGACGTTGCACAGGACAATATCTCAAGTAAGTCACTTTTTGAACCATGTAAACACTATACAAAAGCCAAGACAAAAATATTCAGCTTCAACAAGGATCTACCAAAACAACTGAGTCATCTTTCACAATTATGATATGAAAATTATAATTATAAAAGAAAAAGACCATCTCCTCTTGTGATTAATCATAAGAAAATAAAAGCATGCAACCTTTCAACTTGTATATGGACCCCAAACGTAAACTCTAGCACACCGTATCCCAAATTGAAAAAAGAATGATGAAACAGGGCATAGAAACAAAGGGCATAGAAACAATACCAAGGATCTGCATAGAACCATTGAGAAAATGCTAAATCATTGGAAAAGTATGCCCAAGGCATAAGAATTTGTCCTCATATTTTTTTAGAACAAGACTAAGAAATATGTCAAGTGAGAATTACATTAAGATTCAATGATTGAGAGGAATAATGAGAGTTGGAAACCTAAATGACAATGAGTTGGTAAAGGGTAGGTTGGATTGGCATGAATTTATCTAAGTTGAACAGAAGGTATGCAAGTAGTGTAGATAATTTCAGGAAAAATAAAAAAGGGCTAGTGGCACACGGCTACAACAAAGGGTCAAAGAATGTCCATGTGTCCAAAGGTCTAGAAGGTACCTAACACCATATTATGGCCCTCAAAAGAAATACATGTCAAAAGTTCCACATTATTTATAAATGCAGCAAAAAAAGTTTTTAAGCTCATCAAGTTCTTTCGAAATGGAAAGAATATTTTAAAATCTTCCAAGTCCTAGAATCATTAAAAATTTAAAAAGATCAAGGAAAAGTGTACCTCGTCTTCAGTAAATACTTGGCCAACCTTAGGTGAAAACAACACATCACCAGTGGCAAGCTCAAAAGCAATGCAAGCAAAAGACCACATATCAACGGGAAAGGAATATCCAGCCCCAACAATAACTTCAGGAGCTCTATATTGCCTTGTTTGAATCTCACCTGCCATTTGCTTATCCACCCAACAAGCATTCCCAAAATCTATAATTTTGCATTTTAGATCAATCCCCTCCAAACTCCTCTCCTTTTGTACCAACCCGTGTTCCAAGCCTCCCATTGATGCTCTTCTTTCTGATATTCTCGCTCTTGCCCTCATAGCTCTTTCCTTGAGCCTCTTCTCAGTGCTATTAACAATAGAAGTCCCCTTTAGATTACCCTCAGGCCTCACCAAAATTGGAGTAAATCCTGACCGTATAGGGTCTTTCACAGGATCAATAGTAGAAACAAGAAGAACATTTTCTGGTTTCAGATCCGTGTGAATAAGACCAACTTCCCTGTGCAAGTAATCAAGCCCCAATAAGATGGATCTGCACACATATTTTACATTTTGTAGTCCAATTCCTTTATATCGATTATAACGGATTAGTCGTAATAGACTATCTCCAAGAGTTTCAAATACCATACATAAATGCTGCCCATTTGGACCACTATGCTTAAAATTGTCCAGTAAATGAACGATACACTTGCAATTTGAGGGATCTCCCTTAGCAATTGCTTTTAAAATCTCAACCTCATGAAGAGCAGCTTGTTGAAACTGTGCTGCACTTTTTTGAATTTTGAGAGCAACAAATTTCTGAGCAAAAAAAAAAGAATTTTAGATCAACTTTGATAGAATCCAAATCACATCAAAAAGATAAAAAATGAGAATATTCCGGGAAAGATAAAAGATGCTTAGCTTGACAAATATTAATTAACATTTAACAGGAAGTAAATAGATGCAAATTTCGAAGTACTCCGGACGAATTCTCGTCAAGATAGCATTAAAAAGGATTCAATTTACTTGGACTTCCAAAAATCAGCAAGAACCATCACAAATTAAGAAACCGTCTATAACCAGTAAAACAATAAGGGGCAAGATAATTACACTAAAAACTACCCACAAAATCAAATCAAAGGTGGGAAAGAAAACTTAGATCCAAATAAAAGCATTAACATTGCACAATAAAAATCAAGACCCTTTGCTTTCTCTTGGTCGTAGAGATCCAAAATAAAGGACCAATAGGAACACTTCATACGAGAATGCAGAAACCAATATGTAATGGTCCAACGAAATGACAAAATCGCAAAATTGATTTCAATCGCCGGAAAAACTTACTTATCTAAGTAACACAACCTTGGGATGAAAAACAAGAATGAATGAAATAAGAAGGTCGGGAAAAAGTAGCTTATTGATCATTACACGAAATTAAGGATTGATAAAGCACGGATGGAAAATAAGAAGAAGATTGTAATCCAACCTCGCATCTTGTATCGTAGGCGAGCCAAACGGTGGAGAAGTTTCCCCACCCTAGCTTTCTTTGCGCGATGTACCTCCCTCCCTCGAAAGGATCTCCCGGCCTCACGGCATGGTAACCCCCCTTCCTGTACGCGTCGACACCCTCATCCTCCTCCGAACCCGATGATGAAGAGTAGGACATGCCTCTATCTCCCGCGTTGGCTCGTTCTCTTCGACGAAGCGAAGCGACTGAGGAATCGACGACGACGGTCGGTGTTCCCTTTAGCGGGCTTAGCCGCGGATTGTTAAGAACAAAATCAAGCTCGCACTAACACGAGCGCCGAGAGTCGGTTAATTTAGGGGTGTAAACGAACCGAACACGAACGAATAAAGCTTGTGTTTGTGTTCGGTTCGTTTAAAATTTAGTTTGTTTGAAATAAGCTCGTGTTCGTTTCTTAACGAACGAGCCGAACACGAGCTGTTCGCGAACGACAAGCCAATTTGACATCCCTAATATTAATATATAAAAATAATATTATATATTAATTATATAACTTATATTATATAATATACAATATCTATATTAGCTAATATAGTATATTAATATATTATTATTATTAATTTATTATATATTATCATTTATAAAATTTAATTTTTTAAAATATCATAAATTTTTTATATATAATTATTTTAAATTATTTTATATTT